GGTGGGTTGGGGGGAGGGGTGCATACAGAATACAGGATGTCAGAATAGGATGAGACTTCTCAACAATGTGTACTAGAAAAGACTGTCTCCACATTGCTGGGTGAAACTGGAATTTACAACCAGTCAAACTATGACTCAAATTTGAGTATCATATGCATTTCCAGAAATAGTGGATCTGGTGTCAGAGAGAGAGGAGTCCCAGGATTATGGCTCTGCAACTGGCCAACTCAACAGTCTTCAGACTGGCAGAGGGATACTAGGGAAGAGGAAAGTGCAATGAGCAAGTGTATGGTCGTGTTACAGTGAGCAACAGAACATGGATGAGCGAGTGTATGGTCATGTTACAGTGGGCAACAGAATACGGATGAGGGAGTGCAGATGGAGTTGTCTATAGTGAGAAACAGAACATGGGTGCCAGTGAGAAAGAATGGCTTCATAGAAGTGTGAAATGAAAACAGAAACTCAAGCAGGGAAGCAGTCAGACTAGAGAAGGCCACTTATAGTAAATACAGTTATATGATAACAGGAGATGGACACTGACTAATGAGTCTGGTCTGGTTTTGCAAAGAATAGCAGAGTACGTCAAGAAACTGGAGAAAGCATGAGACAAGAGGGGACCTGAGTTTTTGTTCTTACTTTATGCCAAAGTCCCCATAAAGCCTAAAATCATAAGGAATAGCCAACAACACAGAGGAAGGCTACTGAAGAGAGAACTGAGAATGATAACCTCTAGAAAATGGAACTTGGGAGTGAAGGCGGCCAGAGCAGAGAAGTATGGGAGTTATGCAAATTGCATAATAATGATGATTTAGTCTAAGGAAGGGATGAAAGAGGCAGGGAGAAAAGAGGGCTGGAACAAGGATAATGCAAGTCTCTACCCCATACCTGTCCAGACACATCGGGATTTCTCACAAAGATGTATTCTCGCATCCATTTGCTGAACTCCCTTCCGGGTTGAAAACAGCTGGTTTAGGCATTTCTGGAAACAAATGCACACAAAGAGAGTACTTCTTTAGGAGCACACAAGTGCATCTCAGGTGTGATGAATGAAGACACTATAACTGAGAGTTCACTAGAGAGGTCAAGGTTTTCACAGTGTGATGACTAGTGGCGAGAATCTCACATAGATTATTTTAGCCTCAGTAACTCCACAGCTCAGCAGGGATTACCGAGCTAAAGTAAAAGCCTTTCTTTATTCTTCAAGCCCCAAAACTGACTTAGCATATAGTTCAGTCACAAGCCACTGGCACCTTTACTCTTGAGGAGTGGAAATAACCAACCTCAAAGAGCTTAAGGAAATTCCTTCACTTTCCATGGAGCACACAAAAATAATATAGTTTCATTGGGGCAGTACATTTAATGTTTTTTTCTGATATCCTTTTCCCCAACTTTGATTAAAACCAGTTAGGAAAATTAGAAATAAATACAAAAAAAGCATGCATTGGAATTTTCAAAAGATAAAATGGTGACTAAGTAAGGCAGAGAAGATTCTCTTTTGGTCTCCACAGCCCAGACGTAACTGTCTTTCTCAGCATCATCTTACTTAATATTTGGGCTTCCTCCTCCGCAACAATATATTGTGACCAAAATCTCCCTTACAGGAGCTTCTGCTGGACCTCACAGCCATAGTTACTAATGCACCTTGCAGTTAGTTAAGACTTAAGACTGCTATCCTACTGTGTGCTCAGCTTGTTTATTTAACCTGCCTTTAAGAGAACAATGTGACATCTAACCTTACTTGCCTTGGGCTTCCCATGTTATCAGCTTTTACAGCCTAAGCTAAGATTACATAGCTGTAGAGTGATGTGGTCTTCCATGTCCCTGACATAACATGCATGCATGTATGCTATGATAATGATTTTCTGGAAACAGCAAATAGAGGCTGAAAGCAGACTTATAAAATGAACATCCACCATAATTATTGGCTATGACATAAAGAAAATGTTAGATAAGCAATGAATTTTGTAATACTGTTTGTTACCGGGAGCAGTTGGAGTCAGTAACTTAGTCCCTTGTAAAACTATGCTAAAGACTTTTATTCAGCATCTACCGTCATTCCTTTCCCATGTGATACTTTCTGTGCTGGTCAATGGGGAAAGAGGAAAGCTTGTATTAGGGACACATACTCAGACATTCCCAAAGACAGACTGACACAGATACAGGGACAGGAAAAGCTTCACAAGACAGCATCCAGACAGACTCAGATTCAGAGTCATAGTATAATAGACAGACAACGAGGATGGAATACACAGGGAGAATAAAGTAGAGAATTCAAATCTGGGCTCACTCTTGGTTAAATAATGCCAAGAAGAGTTTTAATAGCTTTCCTTAATGTGAACTGACATTACTGAAGACTAGAGCATCAAATCCTCACACTCCTCAATTTATCCAAGGTAAGCATTGCCAGCCAAAGAATCACAGCTTTGTGAATCCAAGATAGAACATCTGACTACAAACAAGTCTCCAAATCTCAGTGCTATTGACATGTCAAGGCATGTAGTGATACCTTGTTGTAGGGGCTGTCCTGTACTTCACAGTGTGTTTAGCAGCGTAGCTGACCTGCACCCACTGTGGTGCCCTTCCTCAGAGTTATGACAATGTAAAACACTACCATATGTGCAGAGAGGCACAAAATTGTCCTCAGCTGAGAATCACTGATATACAACAACTAACATAGTCTACTGCCTCATCAGTAGCTCAATGAAGCATCTCTTCAAAATCCCATATAATTCCACAGAGCTGACCAAGGCATTGTCCTGCTTCTCTTTGGGTACCCATGGGTTCCCTTTCTTATGTGAGATCTGTATTATACTTTAATTAGCAACTTGGGACTAGCCCAATTAATATGAGTTCTGGAAGTTCCAACAACTACTCAGGCTCTCGTTGTGCCAACACCCTTCAGAGCATCAGTGAGGACCACTGGTAGACCACACATTTCCTGCAAAGCTGTCTTCACTCTGAATGCTATCTGACCTCTATCTAATCATGACAACAGATGCCCACCACTGAACAGTAACACCATTTTCATGATCCTCTGCCCAGGTTCTTCAATGACTTTTGTTTAACAATTGCTCCAAGAGATGTCAAGTCCTCTGCATCAGAGCCACCAACATTACTGCCAACAGTTATCAGACATGGTAAGAGGACAGAATAGTCCCAAGGGACTGGGCACTGACACACTAATCAGCAGTAGAAGGTGAGAAAACTGTAATATTGACAAGCTTGCCCCGTGCGAGGCCCAGCAGCACCCCTAATTATTTCATAGAATTTTCATACTTTGACCATCACCCATCCTTAAGCTCATACTCAACAAGAAAGCATGAATAAAAGGGCTGCTCTGTGTATTTATTTCCAGTTTCATTTGAGTTCAAATAATTAGGATTTACAGTCAGTATATTCTTTCTTCTTGAACAATATGCATACTAAACACAGAGGCATACACTCGATGAATGGTCTTGACTAAAGTGTGATTTTGTGGCTTCTCTAGTTTAAAGCCTTTGACAAAATACTGCCTCCTTTAGAAGCTAGTCACTGAACTTGGTAAACCTAAAAGCATGCAACTGACATATAATGTGCCCAAAAGACCTAGAATGAACTCCTAGGAGCTTAAAATCATAAGAAATTCAACAAACAAATAACAGCAAAGACTTAAGGAAAATATCCATTTAAAACTCTTCCAGAGCATAGCTTCTTTAACTGTAGGTTATGTGGACGCTGAGAAGTAATTGACAGCACTGAAGGGTTTCTGGGCATGCAATGACCAAAAGTTAATTCAAAATTAAATGCATAATGAATCTATGTTGTTTCTCTCAATGTTCACTCGTGTTGCCTCACACAAGTTCATCACATCCTTGGTTCTGAGCATTCGACATGGATACTTTGCACTGAGAAGTCTGTCATACCACATAATGTCAACAACAAACACTGCCCCAAATGCCTCATCTCAGATTCAAAACTGTTGTATACTCTAAACAGTAGTATTTTTGCTGTGTGTACAAGACTTTCTGCTCTTACAGAAACCTAATGGTTTCATTGAGAAAATACTCTGGTGTTTTCCCACTTTCATTCCCCAGCATGTAAGTATAAAGGAGTACATCTTTGGGTTATGTTATGTTACAATGTTTGGTTTCTAAAACTGATGCTTGAATTCCTGACTTGAATTTCATAAAGAAAAAAATCAATGAATGAATTTTGCCCTGAGATTAGGGCAGAATTTCTAACAGTTTCTGAAATGGCCCTAAACTTGCTTCTGCCATTTTGCATATATATTTACACAAAGCAGCATTCTCAGCACTGATAATTACAAAATCAAAACATCAGGACTGGCCATTCTTCTAGTAGACCTGGGTTCAATTCTCAGCACCCACATGGCAGCTCACAGCTGTCTGTAGCTCCAATTCCAGGGCATCTGACATCCTCAACACAGACATACATGGAAAAAACACCAATGCACATATAGTAAAAAAATAAGTACGTTATTTTTTAAAAATTAATATAAAATAAAGTAAAAACATTAATCAAATTTGAAAGATCCTAAAAATATTCTGCATCCTGTAACACCAACCATTCAGTCAGCCGAGATTTAATTTTTTATGTAAAAATAAACAAGCATGTTTATTTTTTATTTCATTAGAATCTCATGATTTGTTATCAGGAAATATTTATTTTTATGCCCATTTTATATACTTATATTCCCAGGGTCACATAAAAATTTCTCAGGTGAAAAGGAGTCATAAGAAACCTGTGATGGAGGAAGAATCAAATTGAAGCTGAGAAACTTTTTAGGTGGGCCCCTTTAGGACAAACCAAGTCACCCCACTGGCTGAGAGAAAGTGCACTAGGTATATATAGTCTTGCTGTATTCTTAATCTTCCCTTCTTTGGTGGTTTTTCCCTTCTGAGTGGTCCTCACAATGTTTCCTCTTATACTATGGGGATTATTTTCTTTAGTGCAGTGCCCCTATTCACATCCTTCACTTGTTCCATCATTTTCTTACTGGTTCCCCGGGCACATAGGCAGCCCCTTCCTCGTATTCAGAACTCGGTTTTGTGAACTACTTGGGATGTGGGTCTTGTGTTTTCTCCCTCTGATTACCTGGCCTTTGGTGGCAACACTTTCCTTCCTGCCTCTGTCCCCTGCAAGAGGTGTCTTGAAGAAACGGAAATTGGAGTTATTCATTTCAGAATGTCCTTTGACAGGGGTTTTCATTGATTCTTTGATGTGGAATCCTGCAAGAAAGACATTTGGCTGGGCAGTAGTAGCTTATGCCTTTAATCCCAGAGGCAGAGGCAGGCGGATCTCTGTGAGTTCAAGATCAGACTGGTCTACAAGAGCTAGTTCCAGGACAACCTCCAAAGTCTTTTTGCTTCAATGGAATACCTATCAAACCACCCTCAAATACTAGATATCTACCATGTGTATCAAAAACTATATATACATATATTGATAGATATATAGATATGAAGATATATATAGATATCACATGGGTCAATGGATCTCCAGAAATTATGTAGCAATACTTTCTGCATTTGGACAACTATGAGCTTGATGGATTGTCACTCATGTTCTTAGAGCCTGGCACCCCAGTTCCCAGGACTCAAAATACAAGAGATGGACACTAGTTTAAGGGGGAAGAGAAGGTATAAACATTAAATGTCCCTCAAATTTTAGATTTGGCTCTTTCTTTTAAAACACTTAATTACTGAGCTATCTTTTAGAAGAATATAGAGAAAAGGCCAGGCCTCACAACTTCAAATGATAAAGGATAAGTGTGGTGTTGAATGAAAATTGCTCCCATAGGCCCATAAGGAACAGCACTATTAGATGTGGCCTTTGTTAGAGTAAGTGTGGCTTTGTTGGAATAAGTGTGTCACTAGGGTGGACTTTGAGGTCTCAGATGTTCAAGTCAGGGTGAGTGTCATTCTCTCCTCCTGCTATCTGCTGATCCAGATGTAGAACTCTCTGCTCTCTCTCAGGCACCATGCCTACCTGTGTGGCACCATGCATCCTGCTATGATGACAATGGACTAAACCTCTGAACTGTAAGCCAGTCTCAATTAAATGCTTTCCTTTATTAGAGTTGCAGTGGCCATAGCATCTCTTCACAACAATGGAAACCCTAACGAAGACAAAAAACCATGCTCAAAAAAAAGCATGCATGCATCAAAGCAAGATGGTTCTGTGGGTAAAGAGAAAGCCTGACTGTAGGGAGACACTGTAGCCCCACCTCCTAGTAGCCCCAACAGGTGTGCCGGGACACGCCCGTGAGGGCGTGGTCAGGGGAGGTCTAAGATGACACGGGAACAATTCTTAAGGGACTGCGCACACATAAATAGCCCCTTCTCTCTGTCCTGGCTGCCTTGCTGCCCCTGGCATGCTCTGGCTTGCGTTTGGGCAGGTGTTGCGTTTGGGTATCTGAATAAAGAAATCTTAGCCTTACGGGCTACAGATCATCTTTGAGCGCACGCAGCACACAATAATCTACACCTGACAACCTGAATTCAATCCCTAGGACCCACATAAAGGTGCAAGGAGAGAAGACACTCCACAAAGTTGTCCTCTGGCCTCATATTCATACCATGACATGTGGTCACACACATAAATACCATGCACACACACATACAGAGAGAGAGAGAGAGAGAGAGAGAGAGAGAGAGAGAGAGAGAGAGAGACAAAAGGCTGTCCTTGGAAGCTGTCAGAGTCTCAGAAAGCAGGAGATGACAATTTTGTGCACAGAGCAAATGGACCTCTCTGAAGATAGAGTGGATAGGTCTCTGCAGACAGGATAGAAGCATCTTCCAAATTTGATCCTCTGAAATAAAATGAAACACCTCCAGCAAAGTACCTAGAATCCATATGCATGATTGTGTCCCAGTACTAACTGAAGTAGAAAGTGGAATGGGCTTTCTTGTAAACTCCATTTGACTAACAATCTGTTGCTTTGGATTTCCAATTTTTCACACACTGCTTTATTAAGAAACAAATGGTGAGTTCATTTCAAGCTCAGAAAGAGCCAGGAAGCCCCTAATTTTAGCAAGAAATTCCCCTAAAACAATGAATATCCAAACTTCCTCAATTACATGGGAATACAAAAGATTTCCTACATTCCTAAGTCTCCTCCTGCCCCCATCAGGTAAATTCTGCTGTTGCTACTTATCATTACGTGGGAAACCCCTCCGCTTATGAAGATTTGGGTCCCTTTGCAGTCTTCAGAACCATAGTGCCTCAGGAACATGCTGGTGCCACTGCCAACATCAGTCTTCACAAGCACAGTGGCTCACGCCTGCCATCTCAGTCAGCCCTTGGAAGGCTGAGGCAGGAGAATTGTGGCACGTTCGAGGCCTGCCTGAACTACAAAGTGAGTTCCATGCCAGCCAGGGCTATATGTAAGACCTGTCTCAAAAAGGAGAGGACTGAGAGAAAGAAAAAAAGAAAGGAGAGAGGAAGGGCGGGAGGAAGGAAGGGTAAAAACAGGAAAGATGCTAAGTCATAATTATGATCATGCTGCATGGGACCTTTAAAGAGCAGAACAGGAACTAAACCATTAGGTGATACGTTTGCTCCTGAAGAATGGAAATTACAATATATATATTTTTCAGACTTTCATGTACCAAAAGTCATTAATATTCTAGAGCAGCATCTCTCAACTTGTAGGTCACAACCCCTTTGGTGTTGAATATCAGATATTTAAATTATTATTCATAACAGTAGCAAAACTACAGCAGTAGTCATGAAGTAGCAATAAAACAATTTTATAATTGGGGGTCACCACAACATGAGGAACTATATTAAAGGGTCTCAGCATTAGGAAGGTTGAGAACCACTGTTCTAGAGTCTTCAAAGCAAAAGTATTTTCATATAGTGTAGAAATACATACATATATACATATATATATGCATATATATGTTTATATATATATATATATATATATATATATATATATATATATTCTTTGAGCATATTTAAAGCACAACATATGTATGAAGATGACAACTATAGAAAGGGCAGCATATTCTGTGGGAGTCCCTGCACTCGAAAAATCCACATAAGAAACTAACTGCAACTTATCTGAGTGTACAAACTAACTGAAAACCTAAAATTGGACTCATGTAGAGTTAGGGTGTCCGCTGCTGGTGTTATCTTCAGCACTGATGGAGATTCGGGGATGTCTGACAGAGAGCCCTCCTTCAAAGAGGCTTCCAGGTCCCTGGCTTGGCTTGACTGCCATCTGGTGGTGATGGGGCTTCTGGCTGCGGGAATCTCCGCAGACAGCCTCTTCACAAAGTTGCTCTTGAAGCTGGAGTACATGGTGACCGAATCAAAAGCCTGTTGGATAATGAAAGCCGTGAGTTCTAATGGTCTCAAAGAGGCAAAGGCAAAAATTCTTTCCAATGGAATTGCATGGTAGTATATGTGCATGAGAGTTAGCTTTTGTGAACCTGAAGATTTTTTTTTCTATTTTTTTTTTTAAACACCAGAAGATCATTTCACAATCACAGCTTCCATTCACGGTTTTTAGATATACCAAAGCAGTTTAGAATGATTCTATGTGACTTATCATCACCACACATCAGTGTGAAACAGAGGATATGAAGTGGCACTGTGCTGAACACTGTCAATGTTCTCTCCAATTTCCTTGTCACTAGAAGTCCAATGTGTTATCCATTGTGCCACAGAGACACATTTAAATTTTCTTGCCGGCTCTAAAGTTTGGAACTTTGGGGACTAAGCAAGTCATGTTGGTGGGACACATCAAGACAATATCTGCACTCCCAACAATGCCATCTAAGAGTGGTGGAGACGGAGAAATGGAAGAGCTGCCATACTGGAGGGAAGACAGACACTCTTTCAAAATTCCTTAGTGTTCTAGAATTTAAATCTTCATTTCAAGGCAAAATGATTTTGAGCTTAAAAGAGGGGAGAGAACAAATTTGATGGTCTATCAGATGAGAAAATTGATCAGTAAACTTCACACTGGCAATCACACTGTGCCTTGAAGTGTCTGCGTTCTTCCAACTTGGCAACTGTCACTCTGTCCATCTTAAATGATTCCTACTTGAAATCTTGTCCAAGACTCTCTTCCAAAGTAACCACTGGCTCATATTCACAGCAGGGTTCACCAACAACTACTTCAGGGACTTGTCTGAGACATTGCCTCACTCTGTGCCACACTGGGTTGGCAGCCTATGAGGCCAAGTAATGGTCCCCCGGGAGTCCAGATCCTAATCCCTGATAGACATCATCTTCCACGGCAAGGGGGCTTTGCATATGAGGTACCCACATACAGCACTAAGCTGTAGATTAATTTACAGGAGTTGGGGAATCTACCCTGTCATCCTATCTGAATACCATCATTTTTCCTGATAAGAAGGTGGAGGGAGACTGAACTAGATCAAGGAGAGGGCACTGTGCCCACAAAGCAGAGATTCAGTAATAACATTCACAAGCCAGAAAATGCCAACAGCCACCAGAACCAAGAAAGACAAGATACCGATGCTCCAAGTGCTCTGGAGAAAGCAAAGCCTGCTGATACTTCCCTCTGTGTCAAGAGACTGACCTCCAACCTCCAAATTTGCAAGACAAGAAGAAGTTTTGGATGATTTCTTTCAGCAACTGCAGGAAGCTGATGCACAGCTCTCAATGGCCTGTCACAGCTCCAACAGAGCATGCTGAGTTAGTAAGAACACTTACAGCACACCCAGCAGTCAGGTACGCATGTCTCATCACTACCTCCTCAAGTGGGCACTAGTGAAAGTTAATGGATTTAAGTCATTTAAGCAGAGAATTAAGTGAATGAATCACTTCTCCTAAAAAGCAAATCACGATCAGGAGGCAGAGGGGACTGAAGAAAGAGTCCAGAGGGTAGGAAATGAGCATCCTTTTCTTCTCTGATAGGAACAAGTTTCAAGTTGGATAAGATAAAACAAAGGTTTTTCACATAAACTGGAGCATTATGCAATGACACAGTAAGGTTGCTAGACCGTCAGACAAATAAGGGACACCTCAGAATACTGATAACACGTCCAGACTCATCGGTGATCTATTAAAACACACAAGAAAACGTTCCACCCAGAAAACTGTTTTTATACTTCCCAATAACAAGAACAAGTGCCCGCCTCCAGGGTAGTAAGATGGAAGGCCAGGTCCCTGGTCTCCAGGAATGATCATGTGAATGAGGGCTAGAGTTGGGCAGAAAAGTCAAGAATGAGCACAGGTGCTTGAAGCATGGGGACTAGAGATTGTCTGAGTTCAGACCATGGCAGGGTCACTCTAGCTGGTTGTGAGGGATGTGCCCTGCAGAATCCAGAGGTTCCACTCATACAGACATCCAAGGATAAGAACATTGGTGGAGTTAACAGTGTGATGCAATCCAAAACCAGTACAGTCTTAGGTCCCATTAAAGTGAGTACTGCTTTTGCAGAAGACCAGAAGTCAGTTCCCAGCCCCACGTTGAGAGGTTCACAACCACCTGTGACTTCAGCTCCAAAGGATCTGATGCCCCCTTCTGGTCTTCAAGGGCACTTTCACATATGTGGGGTGTGTGTGTGTGTGTGTGTGTGTGTGTGTGTGTGTGTGTGTGTGTGTGTGTGTGTACATATACATATGCATACATAAAATTTTAAGTATTTTTTCAAAGGGAAAATAGTATCTAGACTGAGAAAGCAAAATCTGACTCTTTCAGGAAAGGTGGAGGTGGACTGATGATCCCTGTCCAGGCTTAGAACTGTGCTTTAAGAGGCAGCTGGTCAACAGGAGAATGGGTACGCTGATACATTTATAAAATGGAATACTGTAAAATAAGCATGAACTGCAGCTCTATACAAAGAACAGCACAAGGCTTATAAAACAGCAAGAAAAACCAGGAAACATAGTATAATTTCATTTAAGTAAAGTGAAAGGATTTCAGGACATACACGGGTGCTGTAACAGGACACAGAAAGGAAGGGGGCATCAAAAGTCCAAGGTGGGGTAGGCATATTCTAGTTCTGGGCCTGGAAGGTGTACCCAACCTTTTGACATTGTGACAAGACATTGCCATCTACAATATTCACTCCTGAAAAGCACGCAATCAAACTGGGGGAGGGACATGGCCAAAAAAATTGCATAGTGGTTTAAATGAGCTTAGGGATTTGTTAGGCCACTTTCGAGGCTACTCTGGGCTGTAGGTAGGACATGATGAGTACAATATTTGCTTTTAGAGGAAGGAAAGGGGCATATTCTCATTATATAGTCTAGGCCAGCCTTGAACTCCAGACTCCAGGTCCTCCTGCCTCTGTCTCCCGAACCCTGGCATTACAGGAGGGCTTCCTGGCACTTGGCCAGAATGTTTTCTCCAAATTATTTTTATCAAGCTGTCTATACATTGTATATACTTTTCAAAATGTTCTAATATTTCAAAATAAAAAATATGGGATGAGAAAGAAGAGGAGAAGAGGGAAGAGGAAAAGGGAGGGGAGAGAAGACATGGATTCAAAAGCCAAGTTTGGGGTAGGGGAAGACAGGGCCTATGATGAGAGAGGCTAAGATGGATGTTTACACACCCCAGCATGTGCCAGGCTCCCATCACATACATCAAGGGTAGCCAGGATGCTGATCCAGAAAAGGAACTGTCTCCAAATATTTAAAGAAATGCAAGTTATGAAAAAGAAAGTTTATTTTGTATTGTCACCATGACAAAAACAGCCAACAAAAGGAAGCGGCAAATTTTTATTAAGTACAATGATCTTAAATACAATTGGTCTTAATACACTGACTGTAACTTCTCAGTCAGCTCTTCCATAGGGAATAGAGTGAGGTATTTCAATCTTTTAATGGTTTTAGCCTTCCAGCATCGATATAAAATTAATACAAAAATTAATTCAAGCAAGGTAAGTGAGTATACTTCCATTAAACTATGAAGGCAATAACAAATGATATGCAAATATAGAAAATACCGAGGTGGCACTTAGATAACCCCAGCTCTAGGCTGCACTATTTCATCTTTGATGTTTCTAAGCTTTTGTTCTAGGATCTATCTCCTGCTAAGGAAATGCCTGTCGCATAGTTTTAAATGACTCAAATATTTATTAATAGAGAGGAAGAGGAAGATAAGAAAAGCAAGACAAAGGAGGGAAAGGGATGAAGCCCACCAGCTCAGCTTGTCCACCTTGAGTGGTCACTTCATGGTGACACTATACAGAGAGGAATCCGGAGCCCAAGATAAATAAAAAGGAACCTAGAAAAGTTAAAAATAAGGTCAGGAAGTCACAGGATGAAGCGACCAAGAAAACAGAGACAAACAGGTCTGGTGATAAATGATCCAATACACAAATATTCAGTGGGTGGGGAAGCCTGTGAGGTCCGGAAAGGGTGTGTTGGCGATGGAGTTTTACAAGAATCTTGTTACATGGCAGATGAGATGGCTCAGCAGGTAAAAGTGCTCACCACCACACCTGAGAAACTGAGTTCGATCCCCAGGACCCACCTAGTAGGAAAGGCCTGATTCCTATAAGTTATCCTCCAGGTTCCACAGTGTTCCATGACGTGCACAAGTAAATAAATGAACAGATAAATAAATAAATGCAATTTTTAAAAGAAAGGAAAAGAGGAGGAAGGGATGAGGGAGGGAGGAAGAGGGAGGGAGGGAGGGAGGTAACAAAGATGGTCCCATGGCTCTGGGGCATGTCCCACCACCACCCTAACACAATCCTGACACACACCCAGCTCCACCCAATGAAGTAGCTTTCTGACCACAGGACACTTCAAAATCAGAGTCTCAATAATATTTCAAAATAGATTTAAATACCAAAATTTGAGCCGGTGGATAAAGTGCTTGCTGTGCCAGCCTCTAACCTGAGTTCGATTCCCAGAACTCACATGAAGGTGGAAGAAGAGAAACAATTCCACAGAGTTGCTCTCTGAACTCCACATGCAGCATGCCATGGTACAAATTTGCATAAACATACATCATGAACACACTAGTTTTTCAAAAGATTTTAAAACTCCTGATGCCTTCATATTCTAGTGGAAAATACAACCAAACTGAAACTTGTCAGTATTCTATTGATAAAATATTTTTTAAGTATTTCGGATTTTTTTTACCACAAATGATATTTAGGAGATAAACATGTATAACATGAATTAAACATTATACAATGTATTCATTTATTAAAACATCACTTGGTACCCTATAAATATGTACAATTTAATATTCTGGGGGGTTTTGGTTGGTTGGTTGGTTTTGGTTTTTCAAGACAGGGTTTCTCTGTGTAGCAGTTCTGGTTGTCCTGGAACTCACTTTGTAGACCAGGCTGGCCTCAAACTCA